GGGGGGGGGGGGGGACGTAAAAGTAAAATGACAGAAAAAAAAAGGACTAAAAAATTACCGTAGAAAATAAAAGTACGCCAAAGGATATTAAAAACGTAAAATTCCAACGGATTGCAATAATATAATGAAAAGCGTGACTGTTCATTGAAGTTCAATTATTTATCTCATCTCTTTCTCCCCCTTGTTAAAGGCACTCCACTCGTCTCGTTCACTCCAGTACCCGATGCGCCGAGACTAACACGTAAATCCAGCTGCGAATAGAATTCACGAAAGAAGAATGTATTTGATAGGATCAAAAAGGAATCCGTGCACGAGTACACGAACGTTCGCCGAGTCCTGCCGATCTTAGCCGAAGCTTACCGAGGACTCTATGCTGAAATAAAATGACAGTGCGACACAGCTCCCACTAGTCTGAACGCTTCAATTGTCACAGTGGACAAACAGAGCTACCAACCGATAGACTAAAAATGTCCAGGAACACGCGTCTAGCGAGGAGAGGATTTTCTGACGCAATTGTACGACGCTGTCACTATGCAAACACGGTAGCAAATAATACCCACGTGGAACGTAGTTGACACACGGTTTATTATGAAACGGAAGTAAGCGGGCTTGCAGTGCAGTAACAGTAGTAGCATTTCACGTCGTGAATACACCTGGTATACTCATTCGACATTGACGATACTAGGATACTTCGGAAATTTGTCTGGAAAATAATTTATCTGCCATTTCGCTTACTTCGACTTGATAATCGCACCATTTTATCTCCCATATCTCTCTGACTGTGTGTACACAGCTTTAGGCATGGGACATATTGCGTAATGAGACACGCGCGATTTAGGTTAATGACGAGCGAGTCTGGAGGATCGACGAACATTTTTTTTTATCTTCATCCTTTTTAAAACGTGATTATTATTTTTACAAAATCCTTTTTTTTTTCGAAAAATATCAATTTTCGGTCTGCTCACGATTTCTATGGGACGTTATTTCGTTTGATACGTATAATGACTCGTGGATTGGAAACTGTTTAATGTATGACGCATCGTCGTAAAAAGAGAAGATTTACCTAAATGATACAGAAATACCTGCTGGTTTTGCTATTAACGTGGAACAAAGTAGAATCACGTTGATAGGATGATTGATAGACACGTGACCTATACGCGAACAGTTTTGAAAAGTCTGCACGTGGGTGATTTGTTAAAAATGAAATTAAAAAAAATACACAGGTGGGAAACGTGGATCATTGCTATAGAGCTTTTTCCCTTGCGTAATAGAGACTGCGTGAAATTGAGTTGCCAACAGGCTTGGCGGCATTCTAATGTATTGTACCGTGGGTGATAGTCTCTTGCGTGTAAGAGCGAGAGAAAGGAATGATGGTGAAAAACTGACAAAAGAGTCCTTTATCACTTGGTACGTGGGGAATGAAAAAAAAAAGAAGGAAAAAAAAGTCAAATAAGTATGAGAGGGAAGACCCGGCTGCCTAGGCTAAAGAAAGAGAGAGAGAGAGAACTCACGAGTATTTTAACGCTTTAACTCTGCTTAATTTTAGTCGAACTCCCGGGCAAGTTTTAATTTGAATAAACTGCGAAGTTGCCGCTGAGAAATTGTAGTTCCGCGCTGAAATAGTCGACAGGCAGCGGCCGTTCAGGATGGAAGCGGGTAGCTTGAGATTGAAAGAGAGGGAGGCTGCTGCCCATGGGGATGAAAAGAGATGAAAAAAAAGGAAAGGAATGGAAGGAAGTAAAGCTCAACAGTCACGGTGAGAATCTTTCCTCGATTGAGTGTATATATATGTATATATAACATATATGCATCCTTTTGGTAAGGATGCCTTCAGAAAAGGGTAAAGTATTGGTATGTCGATTTCATGTGGGATCTTAAGACGGCTACGATTCATCTAGAGTAAAGTGAAATAATATATATGTATATATGAAACTCAAGAGAACCTTTAAATATTCTTTTTTAAATTGCCGCCTAAATTTCAAAATACACGCTTTTATGCCGAACTTCATTGTGCTCGTTGAGTCGATATACTGTAAGAACTTGTAGCAAGTATATAGTTCTATGTTATTAGATAGCGCGAGGACACTGTGAGTTTAGATAATTTGCGTTGCGACGCCCTTGCATGGAAAAACAAAGCTAGGGCAACGGCAAACGTGGATATTGCGGCTACGGGAGAGTGAGACGGTCTGCCGGTTTGGAAGTTTGTGTAGTAAGCGAGAATGTACACGGGGACCGTATGCGAGGTCGAGAAAGGGGTGGCTGAGCGGAAGGTTAGAAAAGGAAAATTGTGAGAGCGTGACGTTTCGAGGAATATTCTAGTAGCGTTAGATGAGCGTACGTAGTGCGAATACACTCACGATGCTGCCGAACGCTTGCTTGGAGCTTTCGACACGAAACCGCACTTTGGCAAAGCTTATTGCGCTTTAACCTTTTCCTTTTATCTTGATCAGATCGTGAAGTAGACTGCCAGTCAGCCACCCACCAAACCAGCCAGTCACCACTGCTGCAGCAGGTCAGTCGAATACAAAGTTGGCGTTGATTTTGACAGATTCCCTCTAACCTCAAAATACACGTACAAGGTACGGCCGGCATTCGAACTGTCAAAGGAAACAATTTTTGGCTTGCTATTAATTAAAAAAAAAAACATTTCCCTCTCTCTCTTTGCTTATTTGCACAATAATCGTAGCATTTACTAAATATTTTTAAAACTTCTTATCGAACGATACATTCATCTTCCTGTATTTCTTCTCTGTCACATTTTTACCGTTCACATTCTTTCCCTCCTTTTCCTTCCACTTCTTACGGACTGCCGCAGCAGAGAATTCCATTTTCGAGAAGTTGCAAGGAAATGATATCCTTTCGGTTGCAGCGCGACGTACGAAATTGCTCCTGGCCAGAGACCCGTCCACATTTTCTTGCTCGTTCGCAGCTATAATCTAGCAAGCTGTCCCGCCATATCGAAATGGGACTTGTAACTTTGATGCAATTCAGCTAATACTTTTGAGGAGCAGAACTTTTGTACGAGTTCAGACTGTACGCTGCACATTGCTACTGGTAAGTACTACCAATATCGCTACCAGCAAGTAGTAATGCTAAACTATTACTATTTCTGATATAACCATGGTGCAGTACTGCTATGCAACTTTAAATTCTCCATCTTCCATCTTAAACTTCCTTCTCTCGTTACATTGTCCTTTATCGTCGCTCAAGATGCCACTACGCAAACGAGAAGCCATCCGATAGCTCTTCTAATATTAATGTCACTGCTACTACCAGCCCGACACTCATTAATGACTAACTTCTCAACAGTTAGTAACATCCGTCTTGCCGTCGGATGACTTACCCTTAATATTATATGTACAGAGGCCTATTTAATAATATATTACACTATTATTCCCTTTACAGAGAACTACACGCGTCCCTTGTTACGACATATCACACATGAGAATTTAATGACAAATTCATCATTCAAGCCACGTGAGTTTCCTACAGCTACAAATGGTCAGACTCGTATAGACAGATTGGATGAAAGAAACCTTTTGGACAAATTTTACCTTCCCTCATTTATAATTTTCAATGACATTTTGCCTCAGCCCCCTGCTAATACCATTGATGTTATATGGCGGACGTGTCGGTTCTACATATTAATTTTGCAAGAGAACTCAAAACCGTACAGTAGCTTCATTTATTATTTTTTTTAATACGAGTCTCACACGTCCACTGTATAATTACACATGATCCTGGTACAAAATGTTGTCGGTATAATTTTCTTCCTATTCAAATGTACGTGTGGTGTTATAAAAAATGCCGTACTCCCGCTCCCCTATATTTTCACACAAAGAAAGAAACAGGGCCTGCCAGGAAGAATTCATAATCCAGTTGTGTAACGCAAAGTTCTGGCTGTGACAGGCGTGACTCTAGACACAACTGTGCGATCAGTAGGACGCGGAGCAAGCTTCACGGAGAGGGATTAGAGAGGAAGGCGGGTAGAAGCAGGAAGATAAAGAGGAACAAAAAATGCAGAGAGGGAAGAGCCGAATAAAATCCACGAAAAACTGGAGGGACAGGAGTGTGTCTCTGGCGGATCTAAATCTGCCGCTAATCCGTGCCGTTTCTACCGGCGAGAACGAGCGTCGCTTACGGGAAATAAAATAAGGGAGAGAGACGTGAATTGCGCAATGGCTCGGCTATTCGTTTTACGATTACAGATCCTGTGGTTTTCAGCTGGGTTAAGGTCCTTTGTAGGTGACATTGTTAGACAGGCAGGTAAGGACTTTTCGGGTACGCGTATATACATAGGTATATGTGAAGATATTAAGAGGAATTGTGGCACGTGCCGAGAATTCTCCGTTCTATTTTTTCTTTCTTTCCTCTCCTCTCTTTTTTCCCTTCTTTCTGACCATAGATTTACTTTCCCCTTTGGTAAATCCCCATATGGGCATTAGACGCCATTAAGGAGAGCATTTTGTAAGGCTTTATATATCCTGTGGAGAAGCAAGTACCGCTTGGAAAAGTCGTTAATCAAAATCTCGCGGCGTACCAATCGCGTTATAGCACTCCGTGACTCACCCGACTAGCAGCGTCCTTACGTTTGAAAAGACCAAGAGCAGTTGGCCAGACGTTATTGGTGCGTCGAGACCGTACGTAACCGTTGGTTGAAGGTCCGAGGGTGAAGCTTTTAGTTATAGGTGGCACTGGTTAATTAATTAAGTACAACCAGCGTGTCCCGGATTAATCGCAATTATTTTAGGTGCGCCACAGCTTAACGGTCGTTCTGGGTTCTCTTTTGCGTCTCGCTATTTTAACTAGACGTCGAAACGCCTCCCGTCGGACAGATTAGCTCGGAATCACTTTTTTTCCTTCGAATAACATCTTGATAATTTCTCTTTCTCTTACGTGTATTACTCCTGCCACTGATTATTTTCTTTTTCTCTTCCTATCCTTCGGACTCCCTGAAACTTCTTCGATGACTTCCAGACGTCCTAATTACGTCCCAGAGTTCGTGTGCCTCGTGACCTTTACTGATATTCCTGGAAGGGTGGATTCTCCTCGCAAGATCTTCTCGAGTGGATATTAACCACCAACCACTGTATAATCTTTACAAACATTTTCACGAATTCTCAACAGCGACGTTCAATTTGTCGTATCTTCTATCCTTTTCGGATCCTTGGACCGATCCTTAACGATACAAGGATCCACCTTGGCATCCTTTTCTTACGTCTACCCCGACGATCATTCTGTCTGTAAAATTCCACGTCGCACAAATTTCTCCGACAGACAACACTGTCACTGTCACGCGCCCTAAACTGTTTATGATTTTATCAAGATAACAGGGACAAGAGATCCAAGTCATGAACAGAAGTAAAACAGAAGCGCAACCAAGAAGCCCACAGACGAAGTTGCGTTCGCGAGCCTCGTGGGCGAACTGATTGAAGAGCGCTAGAAGCAGAGCAGGTAGAGCGCCACGTCCTCTCTGTCGCTCGCTGTCCTTCTCTCCCACACCCTAACCAAGCAATTCCGTCCTTCTCAATCGTGGCTGGTCGCTCGTGCTCGCGCAGCTCTGCACTCCACTTCTCCGGAAAGACGTCTCGCTATTCGACGCACAGTAGCACACGTAACTTCTTGGGGTACGTTACGCTTGCTCGTCCTACGGGGACGAAACTCCGGGTGCCTAGTGCACCCGTCAGATATAGGTACTCTGCCCTACGGCCCGAAACGCTATGCTACCGTAAAGACACAAGTTGGGTTAGGTTTGTCGAGGGAAGTATCATCCATGGCCAACCGTCCCAGACCGGCCGTCTCGCTGGCACTGCTGCTACATATACAATATACATACTATACAGTATCTTCTCTATGTACACATACTATTTACTATAGTGTACTATGGTATTACTTATATAGTATATAACGTGTGGTAGCCAGAGTGCTGCATGTATTTCCTATAGAAAGGATACGTTTGGTAGGAACATTTCAAAGTCGATGGCCCCAGGGAGTTCGGTGCAATGAATCATCCGGTACCGATATCGATCCCAAACGATATACTGCGAGGAAGTACAGACTTACGTGTATATATATACATATATTATTCTTTCATTTATTCACGCGTCTCACTTTGGTCTCCGTTCGTCTATACCGGTGGTTCCAAAGACACCGAACTGGTTTTGGTCTTTCGACGCCGAACCGAATAACTCTCAGCAATGCAATCTTTATTCGATGGCTAAATCGTTATCTGATTCAAGGATCTGAAGTTCTGACCGTTAGATCCTTCGGGCGAGTTCGAATTGCTTTAAGGAGATAAAGGGGAGTTGGAGCAGAAAATTTCGTATTATGAATCGTAACTCGCTCGTTCGCCTCTGGATGCGAAAACTGATTAATTTTCATCGTCAATCACGCGCGAGCATGTCCCTCCGCGTCACGTCCTCGTAACTTTTCGCTTTTTCTTCGTTTTCTCTCTCTCTCTCATCTCTTGGATACGAGATAAAACGAATGGGCACGGCCATGAGAATCGTAGAAGAGACGCGAATTACATCTGTTCTACGACTAGGTTGCGCCCAGCTGCTACCAGTAGAAAATACGGAAGTGGGCGAATTCTTACAAAAACTATCTCCTCGCTTACTTGTAAGCTTACTTTATTCCTTCGCTACTTGTTCTCTCACTTTCTTCTGCTTCTCAGGCAGCCTCATTCACGGCGATAGCCACGGGCCTGTGCCGTAGGTCAAAGAGAAGAAGTTTTACGGATGAAGGTATGGAACTTTAAAAACTTACTGTTATAATTTTCATCATGCTCTTTGGATTGGGGGAGTGGATTGGAATTCCATTGACGGAAACTTAGGAAGTTTTCATATATCATTGATGAGTTAACGATGATTTATGACTGTTGATTGTTTCCTGGCCCGATATTAGCCCCTCCCAGGCGATAGTGTTATCCGTGAAACCGAAATAGACAAGATCAATACTCAGTCATCCGTGCCGTCCGGCGAAGACACCTTTAGGAAAATTGGGCAGAAGTTGAATATTAAAAGCTTAAGACGAGAAGGGAGAGATAAAGATACTAGAGATCGGTAGGAGGGGAAGATATCAGAAACAAACGGGACGCTCGTGATCTACTAACAGGGGTTAACCCAGAGAGGGGTGAGGGGGTAACCTGGAGAATGAAATCGATTTGTCAGAGACGGAAAGTGGACTTTTTGGTGATTGATCATATAATCCGTTTACTGGTTCGTATACGTATAGAACGGTAATTCTGTATAAAAACAAATGCTCCACGTACAATCGAACATGTTCACGTACCAATAAAATTCCACTCGTTACTATTTCCGTAGTATGAAACCAGACGGGGTATAAAAAAAAAGTATAAAAAAAAAAGTAGAAGGTAGAGAGAATTTTTTTTAAAAATAGCCTCAAGCCGCACGTGGGTTATACACCTAGATACGATCAGATCGATCGATCGAAAAGGAATTGGTCGGCGTTAATTCGTACCTGTGATTAATGATCTTGATAGATAATTTCAACGCGAGGTTCGTAAATTCTACTTTTTTCTTGGATTCTTTATTTTTTCTTCTTCACGTCGGTTTTCTATCCTATTATTAAGTTTTTATTGTTTTTGTTTATCGTCGTTCCTTTAAGTTTCCATGAGATTGTAAATCGAAACAGGTAAAACTCCTTGAGCGTCCTATTTAACTTTAACGGTTTCCATTTCATTCCGTTTCATTTCGGTTTCGTGAACCAATCCGAACTGGCACTTTGCTCTGGCTTGGCATATTCCAGTCCCTTGGGACTTCGGCTCGTTAATGGAACACGTCGCTTTCCTTTTTCTCGAGCGGCTATTCGAAAACTCAGCAATCCTATTAGCGCCAGAAAACCTTGAGCGAGGTACGTTTCGTGCTTGAGGTTAGGTAAGTAGACGATAGGTGGTAGATGGTAGACAGACTCGTAGGTTACGTTTACACGAGTGCCCGATAATTGTACCAGTCGATCGTTTCGATTAGGTCGTAGCAAGAATGAAGGTTATAAAATTTTGAGCTTACCTGTAAAGTATGATTTCTTTCAAGGGAAAAAGAAAGAAACTCCCTATGCAAACTTGTATGCTGTTGGACGTGAACGTAGACGCCGCCTGACAGGCGAACTTTCTTCGCTCGGAAGTTTTCTGACTCACCGAATCACTGCGGCGTAAGTACGAGTGGACTGATTGCCCGAGAATTTTTCTTTCGCGTCTTCAACCATCCGCGAATTCCTTTGTGACACTTTACGAAATCCCTGGATTCTGCTGCTGAGATAAACAATAGCCAGCTCCAAGGACTACGGCAGCCATGGGACTCTGCGGGATGAGACGGTAAGAAAAGTTTACACCATTAATTCACTGTAGACTAACCGAACGTAGCACAAAGAATGACTGACTCGTGTCACGTCCCTTCCGTCATTTTTATAAGCTTTATCGACGGCGGTCCTTGGACGCCAAGGATATCGTCTGCTGGTGGACGACAATTCTCGTTGAGTTAAGTTCACCTTTTGGCAGCTAGATAGAGCCTTTTAAGGAATCTGCTCCGGGCAAGAAAGAGAGAAAAAAGAGAAAGAATGAATAGCAATATTGGTACCCGTGACTAGTCATACTAGTTTTATTTACTATCTCTCAGATTATCGTGCCTTTGTTCAAGCATTATTTTATAACCTCTTTAGAAAATTAAGATATTACCATTATAAACGATTTCAAGTGACACGTGTTCCTTTTTGATACTTTTAAGTTGCTGTCTCCAAGTTAACTTTTCGATCAATCGAAAAGTTGACGAACAGATGAGAAAAGTTAATTTTAAAAAGTTATAAAAAAAATTGACAAATAGTCATTTCTTTGGGATATGTAAAAAGATCTTTTGAGGGGGATGTTAGATATTATTTTTTGTAATACAAAAGATAGTTTCTGTGATACTAAAAATCTACTGGTTACGCTTTCCGAATATCTTTAAGACACGTGTAAGTTGACTTTGTACCACTCGGGATAGTTTTGTAGACTCCCTCCAATAATTTAATGTCCAGTTTACAGGGAATGCTTACACTCGTGTATAAATATCTTCACGAAATAAACCGCAGAATGTCCCGCGCCGCACTGCCCTCTAGCCAGCGCCGTGGTACTAGACAACACATCGAAATGTCCTAAGGCAGTAGAAAGTTTATCTCCGACGCAGGTAGTGTGAACGAATAGGAAGTAATATATAGCAGAGTCACAAGGCGACAGTCACAGGGGCGATTACAGGGTAAGTGGTGCACATTCCACGCAGTGCTATTCGTTTAAACTTTTCAGTAAGCATAAGTCACGTCCGACATATCGTAGTAGGAAAAGGTTTTCCAGCCTGTGACTTGACTCTGATGCTTTTTTCCGAATCTTTCCATCATTATCGAATCCGATTTGCTCGAGGCTTTTGCTGACTTGGAAATTTGCTCGTTTTAGGGGGGTGG